CTTAGACACAGTCTGCCCAGTAGGTGCCCCCAGATTCCCAGTTTCCCCAGTTGCTGACACCTGGATGTGTCCCTGAGGCCACGGCCCCACTCCAGCTGCTACAGACCCCCCCAACACAGACAGCAACGCACGCAGAGACACACACACACTGTGGATCCCTGTGGTAACTGGGCTTAGAAAATCAGTCTACCCAGCCTTTGGATCTCCTCACCCCCCTGTTGTGTAATACACAGAGAGAGACACACAAGGTTCTCAGTTGATCTCTAAACCCTATGGTCTGTCTGGCAGTTGGCTAGATCCCTCTGGGAGCCTTCTCCCCTGTGGTCCTGCCACACACACACACATTCCCCTCCCTCCCAGGCCACTTCACCTACTCACTGCTTACTCCGGATTGCTATTTGCTAGCAATGGCACACTCGCTCATGCACCCGTACTCACCCTCTCCAGTTGCTGGCACTGTGGGCATGCTGGCCCTGTGATCCACGATCTGACTCCACACACATCTGATGCACACACATGCACACAGAATAGAGTCCCCCCCGACCCAGGAAAATAGTTAGAAATCGAGTTTAAGATGATGAAGGACAGGCTGAGCAGTCATCAGATGCAGGACATGGCCAGGCAACTGTACTGACCATCAATCCATTTACACATGACCAGCCACTTTTATCCCTTTTTCCCTGTTTTCCCATTTTTTGTTCCTTACCAAACCACCTTGATCCCTCTTTCCTCACCTTTTAGTTCCTCTGCTAAACATCCCATAATAAGTCTTGCACAATCCTAAAGTGCTCTTCATTTTGCCTCTCACCACATGTCCCATACTCCTAGGCAGTGTTCCTTCAGCCTGTGGCATGACTGGAAGAGCAAGTCCCATTCACTCATTCTGGTGGGTGCCACCATCGGACCACGGGCCGGTGACAGTCTGGGCAGAGCTGGGGAAGGACGTCCCCTTCTCTGACCCGGTTATTGGGCTTCCTCTGCCTGCCACTGTTGCTCTGTGCTACTTTATCACATAACCTAACACCTTCCAGCTCCCTGACCGGTTACAGCAGCAATGCCAGTGCATGCCGGGCACACTCGCTGCTCTGTGGCTGAGACCATGGGGGTCTTTGGCCAGCAGGAAGGACCTTGGTGATACCATTCTCCCCTGGCATTGTCTGACCTCAGGTAATCCCGACTGTCCAGAGGAGGGGGCACGCTTGCCTCCATCTGCAGGAACAGCACACAGGCATACCCGGGGAGAGCAGAGCTCCACTCAGGACACCTTGGCAGCTTCACTGGATGCTCAGGCTCTCTTGTCCCCTGCTTTCTGCAGACCAGCTAGTCAGACTAGCAGCAGATGCTTGTTAGAGTAATTAGCTCTGTCAGGGCAATCTAATCTTTGCTGGCCAGACAGATCCAGGAAATAATCTCCTGCAAATCTCATCCCACTTAAAGTCCTGCCCAAAGCTGCAACCAGCTGGACAGCTGGGTGGGCTGCAGCGCTCTGGCAGCGCACGCTGCCCAGCACCCCAGGCCCCCAGCCGACATGCATCAAGGCTGAGCAGCGGCGAGTCCCTCCAGGCTGCAGCTGCAGCTGCTGGGTCGGTGCCACGCAGGCTGGGGCGGCCAGCTGGGAACCGGGAATGGGAAGGTGGGCCACCCCATATGCGGTGGGACAGGGTGAGGGCTGGGACATGGGAAGGGCTGTGTGCCCGGGCGCAGGACGAGGAAGCAGCCAGGGCTGCGTGGCTCGGAGCACAGTGCAGCACACTAGGAACAGCCAGAGGTGCCCTCGGTGCAGGGACAGCGCTCTGCCCTCCTCCCTGCACATCCCGGGTCTGTTTCCTCACAGAGTCCTGGGCAGGGAGAGCACCCAGGGCCAACTCCAGCTGGGCACCCCGATGCTTTGGCACTACCCTCGCACATAGGGCAGGTGACCCCCAGCCCTGGCAGGCCGATACCTCCGCATGGCTCAGGAGCCTTCCAGTGGCACAGCAGAAAGCTCTTCCCACCAGCAAGGACAGGTGGACAGGGCTCGGCTGGCTCTGAGGGGATGCTGGGCTGTTCCTTCTAAACCTTCTCTGCTGCACTGGGCCCTGTGTCCCCTGGCCCCCAGCCCCCAATGGCTGCCCTGCACCCACCATGCCCAGTCCTTTCCCCCATGTTCCCTGGCCACTGGCTCCCCCCACACAGCTCCCCTGCTCGCCCCCCCCGGCCCCGCAGGGTGCGACTGCACAGCTTCGGGCAGGCAACCAGCTCCAGCTGCTGCAAACCACACAGCACCGCATGCATGGAAACTCTACATGTGCTTCCAATTGCAGGGGCCAGAAGTGCCCTCAGGCTTCGCACAGACGCTCACGCTATGGGCAGCACCCACAGAGGAGCGCTGGCGCCCCGCAAGGAACGGGGATGGAGCAGTGGGTTCCTAGAAGACACAAGAATTACCCTCAAGGTGGCAGGGGAAGTACCTTGGAGGCCAAACAGGGGCTTGGGTGAGCCTGAGGAACACGGGCTGGGTCCCAGCATCAGTGAGATGCTGAGTGGTGTTCTGTGAACAGAAAAGACGCTGGTTAAGCCACACTGGGTGTCCTGGCTGCCCCCCTGCACCCAAAGGGAGCAGGGACAAAGGTCTGCAGCAGGCATTGCCCACCTGGGCACATGGCATCTCCACCGCTGAGCTGCATTCACGTCGCAGCTGGAAAAGCTGCCAGCACAGCAGGGCCCAAAGCAGGAACGAGAACAGTGGGATTGCTACAGCCCTGGCCTTTCCGAGGAAAGGAAATTCCCCTATTCTGCAACAATCTAAGCATCAGCCCACTTTAGCGATGCCTCGTGCTACTATTGAGGCAAGAGAGACCCTCTGGACTGCTCTCCCCCGGCAGCTGCTGCTCTGAACAACCACAGCGCAGCTCTGGCGTGGGAGACATGGCAGCGTGGGCCAGGCAGGTGGTTTTCCCATTGTCCGTCTCTTCCTGGCTTGGACTCCACTCTGCAGAAGCAGGAAAGCAACCGGGAACTGCTGGAGCCACAGTATGCAGCATGTCTGTGCATGTGACCAGGCTGGGACAAGGACTAGGCTACCTGAGCCAAACTGGCCTGGGGCAGATGGGGTCACAGCACCCTCTGCCTCACCAGCCACCTCCGAAGCACCCCCTCCAGTACCCCCTTGGGCTGACGGGCAGGGGGAAGAGCTCCATGGTGTCTTGAGGCACCATTTCCAGAGCTCCTTTCAGCAATGGCAAAAATTGTTTGAACTTCCCACAACCCTGAGATCTGAAAGTATCATAATACCACTTTTGTGATCCTAATTAGGAGAGCTCCTAGTGTGGGAATGACTATCCGAGAGAACAAGCACAGGAAGCTGAGAGCTGGAGCTCAGCAGCTCTGTGAGCCAAGTGGCTGCCTGTGACAGTGCCAGCTGGACCGCAGGCAGCACCGGTCGCTCGGCGGTGCAGAGCGGACATTACTCCTGCCGCATGGCCCATCACCACCTCACAGCCCACTCCCACGACCAAGTGAGAACATGTGCTCATAGTCCCCTGAGCCCCCACACACACCCCTGTTCCCCCCTGCTCCTGACTGACCAAGACTCCCTGTTCCCACAGCTTCCCCACGTCCCTGCATGCAGCCCCAGGTGGCTGCAGTGGCAACACCAGCAGGGCCAGGCAATGGCAGCCCTGGACACGCAGGGTATGCAGACGTGCCCTGCCCTCCATCCCTCCTGGCTCTTGCTGGACTCACTGGTGCTGCCCAGACTCTGGGCAGAGAGGACAGCCTGGGCACTCACACC